TTATCCAGTCTCTGTATAATCAAAGAAAAACGCTCGGTGCAAAGTTGAGCTCGTTCTCTGTGTCTGCTGGGCTCCACCAGGGCTGTGCTTTGATTCTTTTTTTTTTCATTCAACCTTTATTTGTACAGATTAATCACATTGAGCCTCAGAGACTCATTTACAAGTGAGACCTGTTTCTGACCCTGTTTGTGGTGTTCATGGACACAACCTCAAGGTGTTTTTAATTGTTGTCTGAGGTGGCACAGAGTGACAGATCCTGACGAGCACAGGGAGCAATTTTATTCACCAACAGGTGCAATGGCAGAGCCAAGGGGCGGCCAATGGTGACTTTGACCGCCATAGATTTATCTTTGGCCACCCCAATCATCAGAGGAACCTATACTTTCAAGCAATATAAAAACTAGAAAGCATAGTTTCCTCAAACAATCAGGGTGGCTGGTTTACATGGTGGTGGTGGTGGCCATCTTGGGTTTTGTTGTGGCAACCCAGTTGTCAAAAGAAGCCTTTCTTATGCCTAGATGCAGCCACACACCAATATGTAAGTCAGCACCACATTTAGTTTTCAAGTTATCGTGCTTACAACATGCACAGACAAACAGACGGATGGAGGGAATTTCCCATTCACCTGTTTCGCTTTGCGACGGGGGACAAAAGGTAGAACAGTCCCTCCAGGTCACGGGTGAGTCTCTGGCCTAAGCAGAGGAGTTTACGTATCTGGGAGTTTTTTTCCACGAGTGTTGGTAAGATGGAGTGGAAGATCCATGTAGATAATCCTTGTCTTCAGTATTGATGGTGTTGCTCCGAGTTGTTGTGGTGAAGAAGGCACCAAGCCAAAAGATTAAGGTTAAAATTCACTAGTCCAGTAACCCTCACCTGCTCATTAGGTAAGGATCATGACCAAAAAGTAAGATCTTGGTTAAAGCAGCTGAAATGGGTTTCAGCTTTAGAGATAAGCTTTTGAGTTCTTTCATGTTGGGGGAGCTCGGAGAGAAGTCAGCTGAGGTGGTTTGGTGCGTCTGATCAGGATGCCTTTCTCTGGAGGGTTTCTCCACTGGGAGGAGGCCCTGGGGCAGACTCAGATCATGTTGGTAGAATTATATTTCCTACTTGCCTGGGAACACCTTGGGATCTCCCAGGTGGATCTGAGCGTCTCTGAGGAAAGGAATATCTGTTTTTCATCCCAGACCTGCTGCCTCTGTGGAAAATGGATGCATGGATGATAAAGAAACAAAGAAATATTCTCTAGAAGAACAAGTATTAAATATTAAGAAAGAGACATGCTGTCAATCAGCACCAACACGGTTTTGATTGTGAAAGTTTTGACTGACATTTACAATTTAGATAAGCTCTAAGGATATTCTGAATTCATGTTCATTAAATATTATACTTCTGACACAAACATAAAATTGAAGAAATCAGTGTTATAGCTTAAAAAAAGCTTTAAGTTGTACAAATATTAGCTACAATTAATAAATCAAGATAACTGATTTGATGCACTTATTTGGATAAACTGTAATTAATTTAAATCAATAGAAACAATTTATTACGGGTGAATGGTTGTTTCAACTTAATGAGAACTAATTTTTTTTTTTACTAAACCCTGATAAAAACCATAAAAGGTTTGCAGCTTCAATTATTGAAGTAAAATTATAAAATTAATTTACAAACTGCTGAAAAGTCAAAGTGTAGCATCAACAGAATTGTTTGTCATTCAGAGGTATTTATGAAGATTATTGCATCGTTGTAACTGTGATCCTATGCACTTTTTGTATTTACAGTCTTTGGTTTGAATCATGAGCAGCTGGACGTGTGATTCTTAGAGATACTTGAGGATTATTCAGATTACTTATGGAAAGCTGTTGTTGGAACAAAATATGTTTGAGTCATAGAGATGTTTGTGGTAATGACCCACACTTTTCAAATCATCTAAGTCCAAAGTATGTTCTTGCAATAATAATGTTATAAAACACATTATCCTAAAATTCTGTTATTTCTACTTTGTCTTTGGCAGCACTCTAGAGGTTGACATTTTTTAATTAAAAACGGAGTTAAATTTGTTCTCTTCATTTGCTCACACTCACACTGTGAAGGCCTTCTATTTAATTGTAATTGTGTTTGGATTTACGTGTTTCTTAAACACTCTATAGATTTTAAGTGTTAGAAAATCTGAAAATTACATTAGAATATATCATTCATTCATTTAACTTTTATTTATAAAAGTTAATCCCATTGAGCCCTGAGGACTCATTTTCAAGAGAGACCACCTGATCAATTAAATTATATGGTCTTAAAATTATGTAAAATTCACTTGCACCGTTAAAATAACACACACACACACACACATGCACACACACACACACACACACACACATATATATATATATATATATATTTATTCAAATTCAAAAATACTTTGTTAATCCCAGAGGGAAATTAAGTGTTGTCGTAGCTCATCATCCTGGTTTCATTCAAGAGTTGTTATAGATGCTGATAGCTGTGGGCAGGAAGGATCTCCTGCAGTGAAGCCGAAGAATCTGGCCACAGATACCAATCCGTCCACCCAGATCCAGCTTGCTGTCAGATCCGGCGGACCTCTAGGTCCTCCTGGGCAGCAGGATTGCCCGAATGCCGGACAGAATTCCTCCCTGAGTGATGGTCACTCCTCCTAGCAGTCTGCAGAGCTCCTCACGAGCCGAGTTTCTCACCAGCTCCAGGATCTCGGTGGTCAGGTACTCGAGCACCGCTGCCAGGTTGACGGGAATTTGTCCACGGCACCTCCTTTTCAACTCATGTGGGATTTGGGGCTGTAGATGAGATATTTGAGTTTTTGAGATGTTAAGCAGCTGCTCCTTGTTGTTGTTTTTTTTTAAAAAAAAAACACCTTGTTGCCATGGTTACGCATCATAACAAATGTCCAAAAGTAAAAAGGTTTCAGTAAAAATCCTTCCAGCTGCACAGCATCCGATACCAGAGTAAATCATCATCATAAAGAAGTGATATACATCCAGAAAAAAGAGGAATTAAAATTTTCAAAAGCAGTAAATCAGAATGAAAGTAACAGAGCCGCTCCAACATGCAGCCACCTTGGGCGGCGCAAAGAAAAAAAAAAGAATAAATAAAAAATAAGTAAATAAATATATAAATTATAATAATAGTATTTTTTTTAACGTTTTTTTCATATTGTTTTTTTTTTTCCGCTCTACGAGCGTCATTGTTTGCGGGACCCACTTCCTTAGCAACGAGTGCCTGACTTCCTTAGCAACGGCTGTCTGAACCAGGAAGTACCCCTCTGTGTTGTTTAGCTAGCAGCTTCGGACACTCAGAGTCGTGAAAGTGTGTGAAATAAAGTTAGTTTGAGGTGAATATGTTAAGAGTAGCCGCCGTTCGTGTTTGTTACACTCATGCCCGCCAACGCGACGGTCTGCAGGCAGTTCTGCCGCTGAAATGAGAGGAGGAAAAGAAAACTGTAAGTTTGGACGATTTTGTTGTGTTAGCGCGCTGCCGGCTAACAAGCTAAAAGCAAATGACTAGTTTAAACTAAAACAACTTATTTGTCCCTTCTTTTCTTTTTTTTTCTTCTTTTTTTTTTTGCTAGTTAAACAGACATGCAACACAAACAAACGTCAGTCTTAATCCCTCAAATTTTAGTTTGACATAAATAAATAAAAAGTCATTGTCCTGTTTTTAAAGTTGCTACATAATTAAATGTCCAACCCTTTTTACGATGAAATCCACGAGCCAAAAAGCTAAATTCAGGTTAAATATTAAAGATCTAGCTTCTCTTGATTGCATGTCGTCCGCCTCCTTCCATGTCAGACATTAAAACTAAACTCATTATGGTGAGAAAATAAGGGAGTTGAAATTGTATTTATTTATTTATTTTTGGCCAGTCTGAAAAATAACCTTATGTGTGATGTGTCAGCACTCAAACTACGTGTTGTGAATGAATCTCAGCCACTATCAAATCAAGTTTCAGCTCAACATCTGTACAATTGACAGAGATATAGCTATATTTGTCTGGTTGATCAGCTGTGGTGGCCATCTTGAATAGGATTTACTTCAAAAGTTGATCGGTTGTAGATGTGCATCCATTGATTATTTTCAGAACGTTTCAATGAACTCTATCTAGTGGTTCATGAGGTATTTTGCTAACAGACAGAGTTTAATGTAACGGGTAATGTCAAAGTTTTCAAAACCTTTGGCGATCCTTCAGTTCTCAAAGGATACGTAGGGGATGACTTTCAGCTACGATCATATTAAAGTCTAGCTTATTGTCTTTACAATTTATTGACGTCTCTATTGAGGTTGCTTAGCTGTGGCAGACGTTTCGATTCAGGTTGACTCCAAAAGTCTGTCCACTGGTTCATGAGATACATCGAACCAAAATATAAATGCAACACTTTTGTTTTTGCTCCCATTTTTCATGAGATGAACTCAACGATCTAAGACATTTTCTATGTACACAATAGGCCTTTAGCTCCCAGATATTAATCACAGATTAGTGTAAATCTGTGTTAGTGAGCACTTCTCCTTTGCTGAGATAACCCATCCACCTCTCAGGTGTGGCAGGTCACGATGCGGATTAGACAGCATGACTGAATGTGCGGTTTTATCACACAGCACGATGCCACAGATGTAAGTTTTGAAGGAGTGTGCAGTTGGCATGCTGACTGACTGGACCTCCACGTCGAGCATCTTCACCTCTGAGATCAGCCACCTGGACAGCTGTTGCAACAATCAGTTTGCATAAACAAATCATTTCTACAGAAACTGTCAGAAACCATCTCTGGGAAGCTCATCTTTATGCTCATCATCCTCATCGGGGTGTCCACCTGACTGCAGTTCGTTGTTGTAACTGGCTTGAGTGATCAAATGCTCACACTTGATGGCACGTTGGAGAGGTTTTTTTTGTTGTTGCTTTCGTTGTAATATCCACAAATGATATAGCCACTGTTTTTCTGTTCTTCTCACAGGTTTGCCCTGAAAATGATTTCCTTACGACAGTCTGACAGGCAATGATAGGCTTGTCTAGTAATGCAGTGGTTATGGAAAGTCTAACCAGTTGTGCTGAAGAGCAGCATCCCTCCTCTCTCGTGACAAACTGCTGGTCAAAAAACCAGGAATCGAGTGGGAGCCAGAGGCCAAAATGTGTCAGAGGATTTGTTTTAGTGCATGCAGGTAAGTCCAGTCACTCCAGAACCGTTGATCCATATGTTCAAATCTAGATGACTTAAAACGGATTAATTCAACTAATGTTTTTTAAATTTTGTATCGCGTTACTTCCTTCCAGGAAAGTAGCAACGTTGTGTAAAATGTAAATACAAAAATGATTGAATATAAGGCAAATGATAAAACTAAAAAAAAAAAAGTTAACCATTTATTGAAAATCTTTGGCAACAATAATTTGATCAAGTTGAAGGGACGTTGTTGCCACTGTGGCATCAGCTTTTCTGTAAGCAGCTCTGCGTTTGGGACCTGAGCAGAGCAACTGATTTCTTTCTGAAAGCTTTTCTTATTCTGGCTTTCTACAAGAGTTTACCTTTTAACAGTTTGAATCCTTATTTAGTGAATCTTTTGTGTCGCAGTTGAACAGAAGTTTTCCTTGAGTTACAGGTTTAAACTGCAGGATGACCAGGACCTTTACAAAAAAGAAAAAAGTCAGGGGCTCTTTATAAAAGGGTCTTTAAAATCAGTTTATTTACTTGTTAACCTAAACAACTAGTTTTAAAATGTGATACACAAACAGTACTGTGGAATAGCAGAATATTCCCTCATTTCTCAATAAATTAAATCCTGGTCGCCTGTTTTTTTGTTTATTTTTCCTTGAACATATTTTTCCAGTGTTATTATTTTTTCTTTGGATATCAGCTGCTCACAATTTTTCAGTTTTGACTTTTTTAATTACTCCTCAAGATTTCTTGACTTCAGTTACCCTCCCATCCTTTTGTATTGAATGCATCCCATTAAAAATGAGCAAATACATTTATTCTTTCAGTAAAAAATAAAAAATCATAATTTTTCTTTTCATCTCACATTTGCATGATGTTGAAATCATCCGTTATTGTTGTTTACAACTTAACATTGAATCCCATCCTTTTAATTTGCAGCTTTAAATTGTAGATTATTAAATCATCAACCACTTTTATCAAAAGTCAGAGCTTTTTTTAACCTTACTTTTTGTTTTCAGGAGCAGGATACCATTCTGAATCTAAGGCCAAGGAGTACAAGCATGCTTGCAAACGAGCCTGTCAGAAAGTAAGTGCACGTAATAAACCTTAGGGAACCAAATCCTGCATTTGTTGGTGTGCAAATATTCAATCAGTGTTGCAGCGTTTGCTGTAATATTCTGGAAATTAAAGCCCCATTTGAAGAAATTACTTGAATAGAAAAATGAGTTGAGTTAATTTTCTCAAACACATTTTTATTTGTCAGCATTTTAATGCTTAATTCTAATAAGACCCTGTAACCTTCAGATAATAAATGGGATCTGTTTATCAGCATGTATAAATGCATAAAGCGTAAATAATGAGGTCAGTTTATTTTGTTTGTCTAAAATGTGAACAGCTTGTCCTCCAAGTTTTGGGGAAACAGCTAATTATTTAAATATCTAAAGGCTTTTAAATGATTGTTGGCCTCTCTTCACCACATACAAAATGGTGTTCTTGTTTTTTCCTCTGTGAATGTTTCGTAAAGTTCTTCATTTGAGTCTGACGTGCTTTATTTTTCTGTTTATCTTGTTTGGCTCGAGGGCAGCTTTTTAAGATTCATCTTAGCTTAGTGGATAGCATTTGTAGTAAATGCTTATTTCATGTCTTTTTTATGTTATTTTTTTGTTTTTTGTTTGAAATCATTCAGGTTTTCTCACACAGGAAAAGTCTTCATTCTCTAGTTTTCCTTAATGTGTGCTAATACTCAGGTTGTGTAAGGGTTTGGAAAGGAAAGGATGTGTTACAGAGAGTTTGTTTCTCTGCACAATCTGACCTAATGTGTGTAACGGGATGTATTTGTTGTTTTGACTGGACGCACTCTGAATCGAACCGTTTTCCTTGTTAGGCTGTGGACCAGCTGAGAGCAGGGGCGCCTGCAGTGGAAGCAGTGACTGCAGCTCTGGTTGAACTCGAGGTCGGCTCATCACAAATCAGAGCTAATATCACGAAAGCATCTTTTCAAACGACACGCCTCGTCTCCAGTTCATTAAACTGAGGAGACGGGAAATCTTATTCAGAATGTGTCCATGTACCAAACCGCTTCACTTTGCATGTCGATTCTGATGTCTGCGTGTCTCGTTCGTTCTCAGGACTCTCCTTTTACAAATGCCGGCATGGGCTCCAACCTGAATTTGTCAGGAGAAATTGAATGTGACGCGAGCATCATGGATGGAAAGTCGCTGCATTTCGGTGCAGTCGGAGCGCTCAGCGGTGAGTTCCTGCTCATGCAACGGTACTTTTGGAAAATACTAAAGCGCCTTTTGTTTACCCGTTACTGTCGTCGATCCACTGGCGTCCTAAATTATTTAAATAATTATAATAATATAATAATAGAGCAGAATTTTCTTGCCAGACCTCATAATTTATTCCTAACGACACTTTAGCGTTGACAGCTAGCATTTAAGGTGTAGTCCAAAAAAAAAATAATTGTTTTTATTACCTGTCTGCAAGAGTTCAACCATATAATTAGTTCATGTTGGGTTTGTTTTACTTAAATGTATACCTGCCAACACGAGTTTAATAAAGTAGCAAGTTCAGCTTTAAGGGCTAAAAGCTACGTAGCATCACATGCTTGTGTTTCAGTGACAAACTCGATGGAAAAATTATTTTCTGCATTGAAATCAGCTAAAATATTTCTGATTTTATATAACAGAACCAATCAGTTTGTCGCTTTTATACATCCTATCTGCTATTAAAGTATTTTATTTTTGATAGATTTGGCAGCAGAGTTATTGCAATGTGCAATATTTTTTAGTTTCTTGTATTGATTTCATTGTCATGCCATAACGTGAGAAGATAAGTTTATTTCCCCCTCAGGAATTAAGAACCCCGTCTTGGTTGCGAACTGTCTGCTGAATGAAGCGCAGAAAGGGAAGCTATCAGCTGGCAGAATACCACCCTGGTGATTATCACATTTCATTTTCGGTTATAGTAATAATACTGTATCACTTTTGTTCAGTTTTGTTTCCTTTTTCAGCTTTCTAGTTGGTCGAGGGGCTCATGATTGGGCAGTCAGCCACGGAATACCTCCATGTCCTTCAGAGAAAATGGCCACAAGTGAGACCGATTTACAAACAAAGAATCTCTTTGGACCTTCTCTCGTCTGTAAGGAACAACGCTCTTCTTCCTCACACAGGGTTCAGCTTGTCTGCGTACAAGCGAAACAAACGCAAGATGGAGCTGGCGGAGGGCACGGACGCAGAACATCATCAGACAAAGAAAAGACGACAATCAAGTGAAAATGTGAGTTCTGTCCTGAGAGTTCGTCTAAAACGAGTCCGATAAGTGATCCACTTCTCTGTTAGTGGGAGTAGATATCATGCTGCTGGTTTCAAACCAGTATTTTTTTAATAAAAATTTATTATTTTGACTGTCTCAAATGAAGGGCGGCACAGTGGCGCTGTTGGTAGAGCTGCCTCCTCTCAGCGAGCAGGTCGCTCGTTCAAATCCCAGCCGGGGACCTTTCTGGGTGGAGTTTGCATGTTCTCTCCGTGCATGTGTGGATTTTCTCCGGGTACTCCAGTTTCCTCCCACACACCCAAAACATGCATGTTAGACTGGTTGGTAACTCTAAATTGTCCCTAGGTGTGAGTGGTCATTTGTCTCTATGTGTCCCTGTGATGGACTGGAGACCAGTGCAGGGTGTCCCCCCACCTCTCACACAGTGACTGCTGGTTTTGGGCACCAGTGACCCAAAAAGGAAGAAGCGCTTAAAGATAATGGATGTCTCAAATGAACAAGCAAAATGGTCTAAAATAACAGAAATTGTTCTCTTTTTAAAGCCCTATCAACAGTATTATAAATATGTTTTAAACTTTTTTATTTCTCCTTTCATAATTTTTTTCTGTTCGAACACTCTTAACCTCCTAAGACCCGGACTCTTGCATATGCGGATGCCAGATCCTTGGAGGTTTAATGTGAAATACTCGTGCCGCGCCAGTTGGAGGTGAAAATTTCCACCACAGTTAGAATAAAATGCAGATAAAGTGGCTTAAAGCATTTCCCAAATTAATTGTAACTCTTTTTGTTTCTGGTCATCTGGACGGTTTCTTTTGTTGCTGAGATGTTTCATCCTTCATCCGAAGGACTTCTTCAGTCTGAGGAGCCCACCAAACCAAACTGAATCCCACAAACAGCTCACTCCCAAGTGGAAATAAAAAAACAGTTTGAACTTTGGTGTTTTGAACCACTTTGGCATGGTCTGCCTCGGGGGAGTTGACGGGGCAGAGGGTGGGCCCCGGTGGCCATCTTATCACCAGCAAGCTGTTTATTTGGGGTGGGGGGGGGGGGGGTTCCTCTCTGGGAGTGAGCTGTTTGTGGGATTCAGTTTGGTTTGGTGGCTCCTCAGACTGAAGAAGTCCTTTGGATTAAGGATTAAACATCTCGGCAACAAAAGAAACCATCCAGATGACCTGACTGAACATTATTGGATTTATACCTGGATTAATGAGCATGAACTTAAGTCTTTTTCTTTTCTGTTTTATACTGTTTAAAATTTCTTAAAAAAAAAAAAAAAAAAGTTAAGCTCCATTTCTCCTAGATAAACAAATATTCCACAAACTGAGTTTAACAAGGTTCTCTATTTGGAAAATAGTTTTTCAAAATAAAGTTTGCTGTTTAAAACAAAATGTAGATGTAAATAAAAATCTGTTAGATTTTAAATATTTATTGCCGTGTGGACAGGACCTTAATCTTTGTGTCACTAAAATAAAATCATAAATCCGCATGTTGAAATCTAAACAGGTTCCACAATCTATTGTTGATAAACCACCTTCAAAGCTCATTAACCGTTACGTAGTTTAAATTATTCACATTATGATGTAAAAGCTAAAACCCTCACGCATTGTAGTTTGACTCTACTTTGAGGACATAGAGTTAAATTCTCTGCTACGTGCTCCCAGTGTTATCAGAGAGTTGTCAGTATCCTAGGATTAGAGTCCTGCTGGAGGTGGTGGAGTCGAGGTTCCTCCAGGAGCTGCACACTGACGTCCCGTCGAACTGAACTGAAAGCGTCTGAGAGCAAAACGATTCTGCTTTAAACTCCGCTGGCGGTGGAAGCAGCACAGAAGGGGATGGGAAAGTTTATCTTGGTTCTGATGTGAATTTTGTCCAATTTAATTAGCCATGAAACTAAAACATACTTTAACTGTTTTGTTTGTTCACATCAGCGTGAAACGTTAATGACATGTCCACGAAGAAAAATGACTTCAGTGAACTTGTTTTTTTTTTTTCTAGTGACCAAGGATGGAGCTGTTTGTCATGAAGTAAACATAAAATCATTGTTTATTTGAGTTTTGCTTGGCCTGTTTTGAAGATTTACATTGGCCCGTTTAAATCCTGTTTACGTGCGAACGATCTCTGCAAACGTTTGTTTGTTGTTGAAAGTTTTGTTGTATGAACCAATGACGACATATGTTCTCTGCGTTTGACCTAACACACACATCACATACACACACGTGGAGCAGCAGGCAGCGATTTAAGCATCCGAGGAGCAGTTAGGGAATCGTTGAGGTGCTCAAGAACAGTTGGACATATGGGCATGGCGGGGAATTGCACCTGCCACTTTCCGATCTCAAGATGGCTGCCCTACCAATGACTAAAACAGTTGCATATATACGTGGTAATGTGCTCGTTGAATCCGCTGTCATTTCCACGCATGGTCACTATCTGGCGCTGTTGGGAGAGGGTGGAGTTCCCTCTCCAGGTTGGGGGCGAGGTTGAGGAGTTCAAGTATCTGGCGGTTTTTGTTACAGAGTGAGGGAAGAACGAAGCACGAGATCGACAAATGGATCGGTGCAGCTTGCGCAGTATTGTAGAATCTGTGCCGGTCCGTTGTGGTGAAGAGGAAGCTGAGCTGCAAGGCGAAGCTGTCTGTTTACTGGTCGGTCTACGTTCCTACCCTCCTCACCTATGGCCATGAACTCTGGGTGGTGACCGAAAGAACAAGATCGCAGACTCAGGTGGTCGAAACGAGTTTCCTCCGCAGGGTCGCTGGACTGGATAAGATGAGAAGTTCAGTTATCCAGGAGAGACTCAGAGTAGAGCTGCTGGTATCTGTAATGGAGCTCCCCGGGAGGTGCTCCGGGGAACGACTTGGAGTCCTCCCAGAAGAGCTGGATGAGGTGGCTTGGGAAAGAGCTGCTGCCCCCGAGACCCGACTCCAGAACAGGCACTTCACTTCCAGTATGAAAACCGTTACATCCAACACAGTGAAAACACGCAGTTTGTTTGGACTGAGGAGGAGGTTGGCTCGCTCCTGCATGTTGATAAAGGGTGATCAGCACAAACAGCACTCTTCTATCAGCCGTTAATGTTCTTCTACTCTAAAACTGCTGACTGCAGCCATCTGTAGAGCACACACACACAAAACCGCGTTATGAATATGGAAAAAAAAACGGATATAAGTCGCAGGACTGGCAAATTGTGCAAAAAACTGCGACTTATACGCCGGAAAATACGTTAACTGGAAATGATCTCGTTTTATTTAAAGATTTGTTCCTAAAGACGGGGTTCAGTAAAAAAAAACAAAAAAAAAAAAACAGTTACAACAGCCTGGCTTTAATTTTGTTCTCTTTATACCTCGGTCTTGTTGCCAAGCAATAAAATCTTTTCCTCCACTTTCAGTGTAATGACACCTGCATCCTGATAGTCATATTTACATAATTCCAGACATGTTTTATCATCACTATGTTCTGTGAAGTTTTTTTTATTGAAGGCACAGATTAACATGTTGTAGTTTTTAAAATTTTATTTAAAAACAAATGACTCCGGCTCTGGTTTCAGAAGCCCCGAGGCATGGCTGGTTTCAGAGCAGAAGACCGATGAGAAACAACCCCTACATGTTTATTTTTTTATTATTCTTTCCATTTTGCCTTTTTTAGTCCAAGCTTTAATCAAGTGCTGCAGTTTGTTGTACAAGTGAAGTTCTGGTCATACGTCGTGATGCCAGTTTGTACATCGATCATTCAAATTTCTATTTCTCATGTAGTCTGACTCACGCTGGTTCACGAACAAATCACTTCCAATGCAAACTGCAATCAGGGAAGGAAGGAGGCCAAATTACAGCGAAGGTTTTTATGAAACATGAAGAGCAAGAGGGAATGATCCATAAAAACTCAGATTCTGTTTATTTTCTTAATCGCTCCCCTTTAACGTGACATTTGTTTCAGGATGAGAACGTTTGGTTTTCTTTGTTTTGCTCAAAGTTTTACTTGACATTTTCGTTTGTTCACATTTTTATCACACGTGACTTTTTCTTTGCTGTGATTTAGGAGAACGGCTCCGGAGGCCTGGACACAGTCGGAGCCGTGGTGGTGGACTTGGAAGGGAACGTCGCTGCAGCCGTGTCCAGCGGAGGCCTTGCTATGAAACATCCCGGCAGGGTCGGCCAGGTAGAGGAGCCCCCCATCCGTGCTGCTCCCTGTTCTTGTGTGTCTCCTATAAACAGATGTGGAGGATAATTAGCCATGTATCAGTTTAAACCAGCCTGAAAGTCAAGTCTTTTTTTAGAGGAACCGCTCATTACCACAGTCATTAATTCCTTTATAACCCCACCCCATGCTCTGCTCCAAGAACAGTTTACACTTAACTAGCTCCAAGTTCGTGCTCAATAATCCAGGTCAAAAAATCCAACAAACTTAAGTCCGGTCATCTGGACGGTTTCTTCTTGTTGAAACGTTTCATCTTTAATCCAAAAGACTTCTTGTCTAAGAAGCTGCAACAAACTCAGCCTTATAAATAGCATCTCCACGTAGTGGGTCAACCAGTTTGATGGTGCTCAGATGGTTTCTGGAGTCCGCCCTCTCCCCTGCCGACTCGTTTGAGGCGGTCTAATAGAGCACAATCAAACTGGTTGGCCCATTATGTGAAGGGGCTATTTAAGAGACTGAGTCTATTGCAGCTCATTGGACTGATGACGTCTTTTGGATGACCTCGGACTGTTGAAGTTTTTTAGATGAAGTCAGACTGATGAAGTCTTTTGGATGACCTCAGACTGTTGAAGTCTTTTGGATGACCTGGGATTGGTGAAGTCTTTTGGATGACCTGGGACTGGTGAAGTATTTTGGATGACCTGGGACTGGTGAAGTCTTTTGGATGACCTGGGACTAGTGAAGTTTTTTGGATGACCGCGGACTGACCAAGTCTTTTGGATGACCTCTGACTGATGAAGTCTTTTGGATGACCTC